TCCCTACCATATTTTCCGGTGTCCATGCAAATACATGTTTGTACTTCCTCAACAGATTCACCAGTTTTTCCCTAGAAGCTTAAGTTCATCATGTTTCTGATTAGATCTTCTATGTCACGACCATTTGTGCTTCTTTGTTGGTGTGCCCTGATGGTCAAGATTTATAGGGTTTTCTCTTTGGGTTGCTTACCATTTGTCTGTTGCCGTCGCGCATTATTTTGCAGGATCCCATTTTGACGATCGACTTGTGCGGCATAATAAGATCTTGACGATTTAGTGATAACAAAAATATGAAGAACACAATGATATGAGTAATTTGATATTTTACTAGAAAGAAAGATTTACAACATGAAAATGAATAACACTTGGTGGTAGAGATCCCACCATACTCTCTCTAACTAGAGGACTCCATTTTTAGTGCACACTTACAAATGACCACTCACTCTCTATTTATAGAGACAGGTACCTTACAACAATAAAAGGAAATATAGTAACCTAACTATCACTCATAATTTGTGGAACATTTCCATGCTCCAATAATCTCTCCCTAAATGCTCACAAATGATGAGGGATACAAATACAGTGATAAAAGGCTAAAATACATAGTAACCAACTAGCAAGTGCGGTAATAAAATGATACATAATCAAAAACAAATGTTGAAATGTCTCTGGAACTCTAAAGTGCATGTGATGTCTGAAACTGGTTGATGAAATCTTTGTAGTCAAAGTCTTCTAAGCAACAAAGTCAAGCATCTCTGATATTGAAGAGTGAGATTCCAGTCTACAGATGTAATCACTGAACAAAGATGATCAACTTCAAAAGTGTACCACAATAACTTCTGAACTGAATGTCGTGTAATCAAGTCACACTTCGGCTTCAAAAGTCTGAAACATCTCTAGTTCTCGAATCATAATACACCCAAAATTCTTCAAAAGAATAATCTGCTAAAAATATGAGACATCCTGAAGTAAAGTCTGAATAATAAATAATCTGGATCCAGGAAACATCTAGTGAAGCCAAAAATTTGGTCATGATGAACAAAAAGTAGTGTCACGTCGTATCACTAAATAAATCATCGTATTCAGAAGTCTCAAAAATCCAATCTAAAACAATCATAAAATCTAATCCGGATGATAACATAATATTCTCTCCCTATTTTTGATAACCAATGCCCATATATCAAAAATAAATAAATAAATATGGATGGAGAGTGTCGGATACCAAGAGCTTCACATGCTCTCCCTAGATGTATGAAGGGTCTCGATAAACACGAGAATGAGAGTAAAATAAATACTCGTCGATCATCTATAGCTTGTTGATTCTATCGCAAAAACTGTATGAACAAGTACCGTAGTAACAATAAGAACTCTGCTTGAAAAATCTCTACTCTGCTGAAAAATGTTGATGTACCCAAAATATGGTTCCGGAACTCTTGAAGCGGTCTTCAATAAATAAAGTCCGCTTGCTCAAGACACATGGTTCGTCAACCGAAGATCAAGAGGGACAAGTCATAAGAAGTCTTCATAGAGAGAAGGTTGCGAAGCAACTTTGTTGATTAGACGCAACTGTGGTGCAAGCCTTGCAAAGAAATATAATATGATGTCTGACTGCAGTATGGAGGATAACTGATCCTAAGACACTAATCCAAGGAATGTTGGTCGACGGACCTTGATTAAAGGGCAATCCTCATGTGAAGAATAATAAAATTCTTCTAATATAATCAGCAAGAAGTAATCCATCATGACGATCAAAGCTTGAATAAATATCCAATAATAATCTCTTTCGCGAAGACAATAAATTGAGTCAAGTAAAAATTAGTCTTCGCAAAAGTGCTTTCGAACATGGGTTATGGTTGGGCAAAATTGGTGTTAATAAAAATAATTGGTTTAAAATAAAAGAAATAATTGATAAAAAAATTTGTGTAAAAAATGGTATATGTTGGGGTTTTGCGAAAGAAAAAAAGGAAAACAAAAAAAAATGATGATAAAATAAAAAAAGATTAAATGAGTGTTAAAAAGAAAATAATAAAGAAATATAGGCTAAAAGGAGGTTGCGGTATGAGAATGCAAGGTTTAGAAAGTGAGAGGAGGGGCAAAGAGTGGGCAGGGCTGAGGAGGCCTGAGATGCAAGGGTTTGTGGTGAAAGTTGAAGGTTACCAAAGAGAGAGGTCTACGGTGGGAAGGGATGGTCTGTAGTGAGGAGTGAGGCGGGTAGGTTGTGAAGAAGGGGTAGCGAGGAGTAGGTGATGAAGAATCAGGAGGTTAATTACGAGGACCGAAGTCTTCGGTGACTTTAGAGGGTCTATGGTATACGCTTTAGCCTTCGCTAAGCCAAGATAGAACATGGAAGGTTAGTCTGCGGTATGCGAGGATGGGCAAGAAATGTAGCCGGTTGCGGTAGCAGTCTTCGGTATCTCAGAGTGAGAGGAACCGTAGAGGCTACGCATGCGAGGACCTCCAGTAGAATTGTGGTATAGCCTTAACTCCTCGGTATGGCATATAACTCTTTGGTGAGGTCAGGTCCTCGGTCTGGTTTTGAGTTGCGGTGATGACGAGAGGGATGATGATGAAAAAATGACGTTTTTCATGAAATTTTGATACCGAAAAGGCTACAACTTCGTGATTATCAATGGAAATTTTTTTCTAAAGCATATGGGGATAAGATGGGGTGTTGGGAAAGGGAAAAAAAGTGGCAAAAAGTAGGAAAAAGAAAGATAAAAAGTAAGGGACAAGGCATGGTTTAAAGAAAAGATATGTGTGTACAGTACAAGGCATGGGGGACAAAAAGGTGGGTTGATGGGTAAAGTCACAAGGATTGTTAGGAGGCATGGGTAGGAATTAATGGTGGAGTAAATGACATATGTTTTCTCAAAACAACTTCGTATCATCCAAGACACTTTAACAAAGATCTATCAGCTTTAAAATAAAGAACAAAGAGCTTCATACCTTGATGATATATACTATCCTGGTGATATGAACTAAAAAGATATGTTGATAACATCTTCAAAAAGAGGTCTTCTCCAATATTTTGCAAGATACAAATCTCCAAGTTGTATGAAATCGAAAATCTATTTGATATCTTCCTCAAAAACCATCTTTTCCATAAAAACCCAAGATATTGTGTCTTCATTCCACAACATAAAAATGACTGGAGCAAAATCTTCAAATGTTTTAGACCATAAATATCATCTTCCTTCTTCTTTTTCTTCAACAGCAAGATAGAAAACTTTGAAAACCCGGATTTCTGCAGAAACATGAATGAGACAGCAACAACATTTAGTCTTGAAAGCTTGAAAAAGCTTGAATCAACACTTAAAAATCAGAAAACTCGTCATAAAAATTTCTAGTTGTGAACCCAAATTTTTTTATATGAATATCGAAAAATCACAAGATGAAAGTAGTCGAGTGGGAGTCGTTCCCTTGAAATAACCGCTTAGATCTTCAAGGTACAACTCTGATAGCAATTGTAGGATCTCATTTTGATGATCGACTTGTGCAGAATAATAAGATCTTGACGATTTAACGATAACAAAAATATGAAGAACATAAAGAGATGAGTAATTCAATATTTTACTAGAAAGAAAGAGTTACAACATGAAAGAGAAGAAAACTTGGTGGGAGAGATCCTACCATACTCTCTCTAACTAAAGGACTGCATTTTTGGTGCACACTTACAAATGACCACTCCCTCTCTATTTATAGAGAGAGGTACCTTACAAAACAATAAAAGTGAATATGATAACCTAACTATCACTCATAATTTATGGAGAATTTCCATGCTCCAACATCTTTTTTCTTGCCATTCGAGCCTGAGAGTCCATGCCACTTCCCTCAGGTCCCCTTTTAGATTCTTCTCATCCATTTCCATTCGTAATGAGGTACAGTCACCTACGTCGTGTTGGGCAGTTTGATGGAATTCACAATATTTTGTTTTCTTCCTGTTATTCTTTTCCTGTCGCTTGTCAGCCACTGTATATACATCTGGGCGCCTTATCCTTATGTCGTCTCGGTGATATGACTTGTATTTTCTTGACTGTCTGGATTTCTGGTAAAGTTGCCTTGTCTTCCTTTTAAGGCTGTAATTATTCTGTTTTTCAGTTTGTTGGTGTTTAGTAGCGTTCAAGGCGTCGAAGTATGCTTGTTATACTGTTGTACCTTCTTCCCATTGTATGTATTTTTCGACTCTTTCTTTCAGCTCGTACCTAGTCTGAGGAGTTCTTCCCAAAAACTAGCCTGACAATTCACCCAGGAGCAAGTCCTTTGTGAATGCGCCGGTGACCATTTCTTCTCCTTGCTCGGGGGTGTTGAGGGTTGCTTTGGTGAACCTTTCAAAGTATTCATTTACTATTTATCCTTCCTTTTTCTTACATCCAGTTATGGTGTGTGTATCCCCTTTCTATCGCCGCAATTAAATGAAGTTAGTGAGGAAGTCATATGTTAATTGTGCAAAATTACTAATACTTCCTGTTGCTAGCGTTTTGAACCATGTTCCCGTGTTCCCATCTAACATAGTGGGGAAATTAGTGCACCAGAATATTTCGTCTAGCTTGAGGGACATCATGGTTCATTCATATGTTTTTATATGGATATCTGGTTCTGTCGTGCCATTGTAGGTTTTCAACGTGGGCAACTTAGATGTGTTTAGAATAGCTTAGTTCAAGATGTCTGCTGTGAATGGTGATAGAACACTTCGCCCCATTGCAAATTGTGATGCATTTTTGGATTGTGAGTGTGCATACAAAATTTGGAAATGAATGTATGAGGTTTGAAAAGGGGTATATGAGGTTTGGGGAGGCACCTGCATTACGCTAGTGGTAGTGTTATACAGTGGCATGTATGTACTTCCGTATGTGTTTTTGGAAACTAGTGTTATGAATGGGTTTGTGGTCTGTGTATGCAACGGTGTGTTTTGAACGTTGGATATTGGTGGTATTGTGTTCATGAATGGTGGTAAGTGGGTATTAATGTGAGTGTTTAGAAACATACCCCCTGTTACAATAATGCTAACATTCGTCATGATGCTAGTTGTGTTGTGGGCAAGAGTTTGTGATCTCGATAGAGGGATGAAGAGCGATGGCGTTGTTGCTACTGTCAGCTCCGATCCCCAGACTATGCTTGGTAGCCTCGTTAACATCGTCGTAATGGTTTCTGGACTTGACAGCGTTGTAGGTGAGACGACAGTGTCTTGTTCTCACGGCTGCATGGGACGGATCGAGCTTCTATTGACCCCACGTCATTCTTCTCATTCCTCTACTACCTCTATCTCGTCTTCCGCGAACATCATAAACTTTCTGTGTGATTTTTTTCGATTTGTCACACAACGGATGACGCCAATTTTACTACGTCATTCCGCAGGTGAGACTCCGGCTAGATGAGGAATCTCAGGATAAAACTTGTAGACACAATCAAACACTACGTTAGAAGTTCTTCAGGAGGAGATCCTGATAGGACGCTCCGATGATCTAGTCAGCTATCTAGGTGAGAGACTTAGTGGAGTATGGGATACATAGAGTATAAAATGCATCATACCTCATTAGGTGCTTCCGAGTCCCTTATATAGTTAGGTTTTTAGGAGGAGGGGACCATAATAATGACATTTAATATACCAGGCTACTATTGGTCCATCAGTCTCCTTCTCACACTTCCTCTGCCCTGTATGGAGTAGAGGGAATAAACGGTAGTATCCCGTGCACAACCGTACTGACATCTCCCTTTGTATAACAGCTCATAGCCCTACGTGGGGAGCAAGAGACTTTTCACTGAATGATGCGGGCTTGTTGTCGAGGATACTTGATCCTTCTGTCTGTCTTGCTAAGGTCTCGCATCGGTGCTTCTTTCTGCTGACTCGTAGGCTCAGTTGGGCAGTGTCGTTTAGCTATTCCTTTGTTCATATGCTCGAGCCAACATCCGCCTCACTAGACGAGATACCGTCATGTTTAGTTCTACCATTTCGAACCGCTATGGGGTACATCATCAATATATATATATATATATATATATATATATATATATATATATATATATATATATATATATATATATATATATATATATATGTGTGTGTGTGTGTGTGGTGTGTGTCTACAGTATATGTGTGTCTGTGTGTAAGAGAGAGAGAGAGAGAGAGAGAGAGAGAGAGAGAGAGCTGTGATCCAAATCTTTTATTAATAAAACTTTAAATTAAATAGAAAAAACATAAATAAATATATGATAATGACATTTTAGTCTTTTTAATTTTTCGAGGGACCAAAATCACAAACAAACAAACTCAAAAGAATCATCAATCCAAATTTTTTTGCAAAAAATATTATTTTTTGGACATAATCCAAACAAAATGAAATAACTACAAATACCATTTATACAATCCAATATATATATATATATATATATATATATATATATATATATATATATATATATATATATATATATATCTATATATATATATATATTAGTGTTGCAAAATCGGCCTTGGCGGCCGATTAATCGTTTGGCGGCCTTGAACCGATTACGATTAGGGTGCTTGGCGGAAATTGGTCAAAATCGGTTAACTCAGGTTTGGCGGTCATAGGTGGGAAATATTTAAAAAAATCATTTTTTTTTTCAATTTTCAAATATTACATCAAAATTTTAAATTTTAAAATTTTTAAGTTTTCAAATTTTCAAATATTATACTAAAATTTTTAAATTTTTAAAATTTTAAATTTTCAAATACATACTTTTTAGGATATATTAATTTTTTAAATAATATTATTAATAATTTAGGGTCCCCGATTAATCACCTCCTAGTCCGATTAATCGTTTATCGTCTATCGACCGCCGAGCTACCTGCAAGCGATTTTGCTCAACATTCATATATATATATATATATATATATATATATATATATAGATATTATATATATATATATATATATATATATATATATATATATATAGGGCTAATGGCATAAAAACCTTCAAATTTGCATAAAATTGACGGATTTGCCCAAAGTTCAAATTTATGTCCGTTTTTGCCTCAAACTTGCATTTAATGTGTCGTTTTTGCCTATTAACCGGTTTCCCTTTAATCAACCGGTTACCACTTGCTTGGCTGGAAGATACGTGACATTTATCCTTTAAAAACCGATTCACAGCCATCTCCATCTGCATTTGATCCCTTCAACCCCCACAGTTAGTCGCAGAGCTGCACAGAATTGAATCAGACTCCAACAAAAAAATGACAATTTTTTCTTCAAGATCAAGCTTTAATGGTGGTATAAGAATGAGGAACAAGAAGGTAATAAGATGAGACTGTGGTGATGTTTGTGGTGTATCAGTCTCATGAACACCTGTTAATCCAGGACGAAAATTTTGGGGCTGCCCTAATTATCAGGTAAAAACCTCTTTATTTTTGTACTAATTTCTCCTAAAAAAATTTGTCTGCTCTAATTTTCCAAAGAGGAATGTATATAATAGAACCCTAATTTTTTTTTGTTATAGGTGGAAGGAGGCAACTGTGGTCTTTTCAAATTGGTGGATGAAGAACTAGGTCAAGAACTGGAAATGTATCATATAGAGCAGATCAAGCCATTGTTAGCAAAGGGGTCAGCGTACCCTTCTTCTGATGAAGCCATTACACCCTCCCGCATAAACAGACTAAGTTTAGGAACCCATTTCAAGAAATGTTTAATATAAACATAACAAGATCATGACTTGTAAAAACCTTACCTTTCGAAGAACACTTTTACCCTAATCGTCTCCAAAGAAAACCCTTTTTTTTCTCTGTGTATACAGAATTTCAGTCGACGAAATGGGAAAAGGTGAAAAGTGATCGGGATATAGAGGGAGAATAAGGATGTGACAGTTTAGCGTACGTAACAGACTTGGAGCTTTCTCCCAAACGACGTTAACGAGCCTTCCAGCTATGTAAGTGTGTAACACCCTGTTTGAAAAGTACTCGGTTGGGGTCTCGGAAACCAAAGGGTAGTGACGATTCGGTCTTTTATGGGTCCCGGGTTTCATCCGGAAGGTTTCGGACTTGGAGGTGTCGATGGGAGCGTAGGGCTTCCCGCCATCTTTTCGTAGATATAAAGTTCGTCGGAAACGGACTTAGAATGAAGGATTTATGACTCTTTGAAGTTATTGGCGAAAATGGCCCCTAATGGAAATAAATAACAAGGAAGGACCATGCATGCAAAGTGGAAGGCGCGTGGGTACGCTCAGCGTATAAAAGGAAATGGTCGTGGGTGTTTTTGGCGTACGCCCAGCATACAGGATGTATGCCCAGCGTACGTCCAGTGTCCAGATACCCTAATTTAAGGGCCAACCACTATATAAAGAACTTAATGGCTCAAACCCTAGCCTCCTTATCTGTTCCCCAACCTCATAGATACCCTAGAATGCCTCATCTCCTTATTCTTGTGTGGTTTTAACCTTAAGAAGCTCATTTTGGTGGTGTAAGCTTGAAAGAGGAAAAGAAGAACTTGGCAAGGAAGAACTTGGGAAGTTGGAGCTCATAGATCTGGGATAGCATCATCCTTTGGGACTCTTTGGAGGTATAAAGTTCATAACTTTACCTAAGAATGCTTAGATCTAGTGTAGTTTGGTTTTGGAGTCATTTTGGTCCCAAGAATGGACCTTTATGGTGAAATCTCATTCGTGAGCTTAAGGTTGCCACCCTCAGTGCTAAAAGGGTCCCATAAGCAATAAAGTCTCCATCTTGAATGTCTTAATGGGTTCATGCAAGAGATCTAGCCCTTTTCATGAAAGTAGAACATCATTTTTGGAGTTTGGGGTTGTTTGGGTCGGGTAAAGTCACCAAGTCAGTGACTTTATGGATTAAGACGTGGAAAAGGACCAGGATCTGTGATTGTAGCTTCTGAAGTGAAGTATTAAGCACTTAATGAGAAATGGACTTAACAAGGGGTTTACGTTGAGCGTACGTGAAGGTACGCCCAGCATACACACCACTTATTCAGTACTCTTAGTGTACGTGGATGTACGCCCCGTGTACTATGTCAGTTGAGCCTTGTGATATTGGGCCTCGGTTTGGGCCATGCTTTGGGTCTTTGGTCCTTAGTGAGCCATCATAAGTCAGATAATTTAGGCCAAGAATATGGTTGGGCTTAGGGTAAGGCCCATTAGAGGGATTGGGCCCAATTGAGCAAATTGGGCCATTAGTGGGCCACTTGTGGGCTTGGAAAGCCTACCTAGTGTTGGGATTTTGTTTTGGGTTTGGGCCTTAGTTTTGGATCATATTGGGCCAGGGGTAAAATGGTCATTTTACCCCATGCATGGATTAAGGATTATGGTATGGGACCCAATTGCTAATTAGGTATATTGATTGGTAGTGACAGCTCGGGAAGCTGGCAGGGCAGCACCTAAGGAATTCATGCGGGAAGCTTCTGCAGTGCGAGGTGAGTCTCCTTACCTTACCAATGGGTCTAAGGCACCAAGGCCGGCCCATTATGCGTTATGTGATATGCTAGTTGATTTCGTGTTATGTGGTATGCTAGTTGATTTCGTGTTATGTGGTATGCTAGTTGATTATGTGGTATGTGATATGCTAGTTGTCTTTGTGATGCTTGCATGGAAGACCTCGGGGGGTTCCCAAGGCACTAGGGTGTAAGACCTTGGAGGGTTTCCATGACATCCTTAGTCAAGACCATGTGAGGGTTTCCATGGCATTCGGCTAAGACCATGTGGGGGTTCCCATGGCACCCGGAGTAAGACCTTGGAGGGTTTCCAGGGCATCCTTATATGTATGGTTGGTATGAAACTGGGCTAAGACCATGTGGTGGTTCCCATGGCACCCGGAGTAAGACCCTGGAGGGTTTCCAGGACATCCTTATATGTATGGTTGGTATGACAGTGGGCTAAGACCATCTGGGGGTTCCCATGGCACCCGTAGTAAGACCCTGGAGGGTTTCCAGGGCATCCCTATATGTTTGTATGCATGACTTATGCGATTGATATGGCTTATGTGATATATGTAGCTATATAGCTAATATGGTATGTATTATGTGGATTGTGTGTGGGGTATGCTCTGGGGGACTCACTAAGCTTTGTGCTTACAGTTTACAGTTTTGGTTTCAGGTATCATCGATTTGGAAATGAAGAGCTCGGATTGATCGCAGTGCACACACCTATAATTTCCGCAATTAATGATTTTGGGATGAACTCTGATAAATGTTTAACTTAATGATGATTTGAAATGTTTGAAATAAATGGTATCAATGTTTTAGCTATATTAAAAATGAAATTTTTACCCTTGATTTTTGGGTCGTTACAAAGTGGTAACCAGTTGATTAAAGAGAAACCGGTTAATAGGCAAAAACGACACATTAAATGCAAGTTTGAAGCAAAAACAGACATAAATTTGAACTTTGGGCAAATCCGTCAATTTTATGCAAATTTGAGGGCTTTTATGCCATTAGCCCTATATATATATATATATATATATATATATATATATATATATATATATATATATATATATTCGTGAGAACATGAGAACTTTTTTGCCATAAATTTTTTTCAAAAAAAAAGTTTGTGCACCTCTAAAATGTACATATGCAAGAATTCTTATTATAAAATATATTTTTCTTAACATATATATATTTGAAATGTTCATATATGTATATTTGTGTTGAAGATAAAATCAGTAAGTGTGATATCACTCCTTATCACACTATTGGTTTGTCACCTCATCGCCACATCATTTTCTCCTCATCATAAAAAACTGGTGGGTGTCATACTATACGTTACAATACTTTATTTTTCTTTTTTTAATTGAATGAAATGTAATTTAATAAAATACAATTATACAAAATTAATAAATTGAAATTACTTCATTAATTAAAAAATACATACTAAATTAAAACATAAAAAATCATAATCGAAACATAGTAGAATAGTACGTAACACCTAATCATCGTAATCATCGTCGCTCAGCATGTCATCATAATCATCGTCCGAATCATCTACAAATATGTATGAGTCGGCATATATATCTTCGGAGTCGTCTTCTACATCGCCGTCAACAAAACTCACGTGAGCATTGAAGATGTGTTCCACCAAATCAACGTGAAGATTGTGGTCTAACGCAGACGTACCAATACGTACTCCTTCAACATTTGGTATATTTTAATCTTGATTGTAGCGTCAAATCACACTTGCCTCGTCTTTTATAATCATATTATGCAATATGATGCATGCATACAACATGCTACTTATTCGTTTGCGCTCGAGCGATCGTGTCGGTACTGAGAGTATTTGCCAACGTCTCTTTAGAACATCAAATTATCGCTCAATAGACATCCACAAATTTAAACATTAAAAATACACATAATACAAGTTAAAGATCAATCCAAATATATTAAAAACACATAACCGTAAGTTTTACATCAATCCACATACAACAAAAAAAATTAAAGTATAAAACAGAAAAAAAAATATATAATTTTAGATGAACACAAAACACATTAAAAAACTTTATAACATTATAAAACATAACATTTGTCAAAATGATTGTGCATAAGAGCACATCAAGTTACAATGCTTTTTGTACTGTACTTAAGGCTTTTTGCAACTGTTTCTCCGGTACTCCCTCTTCCCCTACAGTGGGTGTGGCATGGGCTTCAAAAAGAACGACATGGCAAGGCGAGGATATCATTTCCCTATTTAAAAAGATTTATCTCTCTCCTGAGGTAAAATGACCTTTGAGGATAACTAACTGTTGCGTTTGTTCTCATTTGGTCCCTTTCCTTTTTTTTTGTACTCAATATACCATCGAACTTTTTGTTTGTGTTCACCATAACCCTTTTGACCGGCTATCACCTGTGATAGCCGGTCAAAGGGTTATGGTGAACACAAACAACAAGTTCGATGGTATATTGAGTACAAAAAAAGGGACCAAATGAGAACAAATTTAACAGTTGGTTACCCTCCTGAGTCATTTTCACCAAAAAGTTAAATGAAATTAAAGTTGCAAAAGTATCAAAGATTGCAACCTTCTTTGGCCATAACGTACATGAAGAGCGTTTTAGAGGGGTAGCTTCGTTAAAACATGGTCTATGCTATGCTTAGTGTGGTTAGCTGTCAACACCTCTCTACAAAAGGATATGACTGTGTATGAGAGGTATATTTATCAGCATAAACGTTACCTCAAGGTATATTATGGTGATGTGTCTGCAATCTCTGCATGATCTTGTACATATTGATGTTGTATCTTCTCCCATGAATTCGATCTTAAAGCCAAGTAAACTCAAAAATCACAGCACTTGTGATTCCACTCGTTTGTAGACTTGTCTAGAATCCATGATACGATAAATCATTTGATTGGAAATGTAAATGTAGTCATGAAATGCACCTGATTAGTTAAGATTCTTCTAATAAATATTCATGTGCATTGCAAAGTTGTACATGTATGAATAATGTTCTTTCGTGGGTTATGTTTTGAAGAGAAGCAAAAATGAATCTCATAAAGTCATTAATATAAGCAGGAGATGACGTGAGATTTTCTGTAAATGAGTAAAGGAAAAATGACTCAGGAGGGTAACCAACTGTTGAGTTTGTCATCATTTGGTGCCTTTCCTTTTTTTTGTACTCAATATACCATCAAACTTGTTGTTTGTGTTCACCATAACCCTTTTGACCGGCTTTTGACAGGTGATAGCCGGTCAAAAGCCGGTCAA